GCCTTATTGCACTGTTCTTCAGAGGTTACATCATGACGCTGGTTGTAATTTTGTTTAGACAACAAAAGACATTCAACAGCAAACACCTTTTTATCAGCATCTAAGGATAAATGAAATAAATTGCTGTTTGACATCTCTGACTGAAAAACACGACCTCTGGTGAAGGACTTATTTTTATTGAAGTAAAAGTAAAACTTTGTACATCAATAAAGCAGAAATGTATTACATTTTGTTTGTTTTTTGACTAATTAGTCACTGAAAATTACCATGGTACAGTTTTTCTTGACATGGCACCATGGTAAAAATTTTCCAAAAAGATGTTTAATTACATTTAAATTTTGGATTTTTCTATTTAAATAGTGGAATAAATTAATATAATCATATTTTAAATTCTAAAACGTGTATTTAAAAATATTTGTGCCATGTTTTGTCAAATACTTCATGGTAATATAAATAAATAAATAAATAAACAAACATTGTAATCATATCATACATTAAAAAATGCGTATTTAAATGTATATTTAAAAAAATCATTTTGTCATATTTTTGTCAAATAATTTTAATGAAGTTTAATTAATTCATTTTCTCGACATGGCACCATGGTAAAATATATATTTTTTTTAATTCAATTTAAATTTAGAATATTTCTATTTAAATAGTGAAAAAATAATATAATCATATTTTAAATTCTAAAATGTATATTTAAAAATAATTTTGTGCCATATTTTGTCAAATACTTTGTGGTAAACAAACAAGCAAATAAATAAATACATAAATAAATAAGAATTATAATCATATTATAAATTCCAAAATGCATATTTTAAATGTATATTTAAAAATAAATCCTTTTGTCATTTTTGTCAAATACTCTTAATGAAATTTAATTGTTTAACGAATTAATTTTACCTTTAACAATCTTTTATGCTGATAATTAGCAGCCCTGTTTGATGCACATATGCAGTGTAATCAGTCCTAAACCAAAAACATCTGACATGTAGTTGGTAAATAAATCAATGTTCTAGGTTACAGATAAGTAAATGTTGTCTTATAAAGACCTGTGTGTGTTTGTTGGTATATTTGTGCATCTTTCTTTTATTTTTCTCTGCCTGAGCATACAGGTGGTTGACACTTGTAGCAGGACTAAATGAAACCACAGTGATCGTCACGCTAATCTAGAACCACACACATAGTAGCCACAAGGACTTAATTTTTTTATTTCAGTTCAAGCAGACGCTCACTCTCACTCTCTCACAGCTGCGTTCCTTCACATCTTCTATCTTTAACAAGCAGACACTCACACACTGAGAGAAAGTGAAAGCCAGCTCTCCCAGATCAAACTACACGGCTCCTCACTGTTGAATTCTCATTACACATCACCACCGGGCCTGATGGAAACTGGTTGACTTGATTGAAGTTTAATAATCCGCTGTTGAAAGGGTTTTTAGCAGGATAATCAGACCTCTGCACTTCCACCTGCTTCTTTGTCATTCATTTTTGTGTTTAGCATTTTAAAATCTGTTTTGAAAACGATCTTGATCTGAGAGAAGATGTATTTAGGCATACTAGGGTAACCAGACATCCGGCTGCAGCTTTCCTGTGTAACATCCTAGTTTAGTTATTTTGTGAAATAATACCAAGTAGCTAACAGGGCACTGCTCACTATAGAGATTTTGGTAACACTTTACCACTTTATTCAGTTATAATTATTTACGGCAAAAATACACAGAGCAACTTTTTATTTCATAGATAATAATATAGGCAAACTTATTGATTCATTGACCACTGTTCTAGAAAGGTTTTTTTTGTTTTCATTTCAAAATTCTGTTTACATTAGTGTGCAGTTTTCCTGAATTGTCCTGCATTGTCACATGCTAAAGTTCATCTAATGTGATTTAAATGACTTTTATGTAATACTTTATGTTTTGGGCCTTCAATTCTTCATGGAATATTTGTACAAAGTAGTATGATTGTACAAAATTTTATGTATTACAATGTATTACAATTACACTATTAATATGTACTGTACTGTAAGTGAACTGCAAAAAAAGCTGAAAATTATTTAAAATTGTCTAATAAATAATGTAATGAATACTTTCCATATAAATGTAAACTTACAGTACAATCTTGCACTTGAAGAAAGCTTATGTCCACGTTATTTCCCCGTCCGCACAACATACCAGATGGTTGAACTTTGGGAAATTGGGTGAAACGATGCTTGAAAAGAATTCATACTCCTGTTCCCCCCCCTCCTCTCTCTCTGTGTGTGTGTGTGTGTGTGTGTGTGTGTGTGTGTGGAAATCGAGTTCTGACTGAAGACTTTGCTCAGGCAACACTTGAAGAAAGCTTATGTCCACGTTATTTCCCAGTCCGCACAACATACCAGATGGTTGAACTTTGGGAAATTGGGTGAAACGATGCTTGAAAAGAATTCATACTCCTGTTCCCCCCCCTCCTCTCTCTCTGTGTGTGTGTGTGTGTGTGTGTGTGTGTGTGGTGGGAAATTGAGTTCTGACTGAAGACTTTGCTCAGGCAAAGTCTTGGAGGGGATCAGTGTGTGATAGTGAGATCAGAGCGGAGCACTTAACATAATCTGTTTCTAGATCTATGTACCTATACTGACACTGATTGAGTGAGGCAGTCAGTCAGGCTTCACTTTTTCCCAGCATGTGAATTCTGAAGGGCAGTGAGGAACAGTGTGAGGATTTAAGAGCTTTGTATACTGAGGGCACATTGAGGTAGAGATTTGATGACTTTATGAATGGACTATAATTTAGGACATCTATGTAGGGATGCACCGAATGCTCGGCAACCGAAATTATTTGGCCGAAAATTGCAACAAAAGCTCTTTCGGTGTTGAATAAGCGAAAGACCGAATAAATTGTACCGAACAATGACATGACGCGATCAAATAGAGGCGCACGCTAATGCAACAAACACGTCGGCAGTGTGGAAGCATTTAAACTGTCCGAGAAAGATGCAAAAATCATTACAAGCAGCGACAGCGAGAGACTGTTTACCCTTACCAAAAAGTAGTATACTTCAAGTTTATTTTATTAAGTATACTTAAGTAAAGTTCAAGTATATTTTTAAGTAAGTATAACAGTAGTAAACTTTGAGTACACAACTAGTTTACATAAAATTTTTTAGCTTGTACTGCAACTATACTAAAAGTTAACTTATATGAATACTGATAGTTTTCTAATTAAATACTTGTAGTAGCATTTTTAGTATACTTTGAAGTATAGTCTTAGTAAACTACTAGTTTAGTAGTTTTATACTGCAAGTATACTCGTACGTTTTCTTTAAGTGAACTTTACATCATACTTTAAGTATACTACTATGTCCCTATTTAGGTATTAATTTGTATATATTTTGTTATATAAATATCTGAACATACAAAACACCAAAAGAAAGAACAGGGTATCTGCTTGTAAACAAAAACATTTTATTCTAGCTTCATGCATTCTTTTTTTAAACACTTGAATGTGGGTGTTTCATAAATAAAAAAAATAAATAAAAAAAACATTTTGAACAAAAAGCTGAAAAAAAGACTATGAATTGGATTCAGAACGATAATCAAAACTCAAAACGAGTCGATCAACACCCCAAAGCTTGACAGTGTTTAAAAGAAGTATACTAATAGCACACTTGAATAAACTTTTTCGTATGGGTAGTACTGCATCACATGTCTTCGATGAGAAGTGGAAGGGATGGTTGTTGCTGGTTACTGTATGATGATTAAAATCGCGAAATGCCCTGAAACAATTAAACTGCAGAATGTTATGTTTTCTAATACATGCACGAATTGAGCATCAGCTCGCGACGCCAGGGTTCAAAGTCCAAAGTGCGAGGAAAATCTGCGCTGAAATGGAGTTATTCGTCAGTTGCTCAGTAACATTTGTATGAATTTTTACAAGGCATGCATGTGACAATGTGATACGTGCAACAAACGTCTTCCCAAATTCATAATGAGAATCATTTATAAATCTACTGTTGTCAACAAAAAGAAGCACTGAGGTCTTCCGGCGGGTTTCTGCCAAAATAAAAGATGGGAAAAAAAAGCAAGAACTCCATCAACATTAATAAATGTTATTATTGTGATGTTACTGTTGTTCTGTAAAATACAATTAAAAAGACAATAATAAGGATAATAATAATTACAACAGCTCTATTGATACATTTATTATAGCATTCACACATAGTGTTCAGACTGGGATCTGTAATATTTTCTAATGTTTTAAAAGAAGTCTCTTCTGCTCAGCAAGGCTGCATTTATTTGTACAGTACAAAAGAAGAAGGGGATCTCAAAAATGGCCAAAAAATATTATTTTACTAAATTATTAATTTGAATTAAATTGTGTTTTATTGGTATAATGTCTGCTAGAATGTAAAAAAACTATGACATACAACTCTTACATTATGAGTGGAAGATCAGTCACTGAATGGATGTGTTGGCATGGTGATTGTTTATGTGGTATCTGCCTATTTGATTACATGCTGTGAGAGTCTCACAGTCTACATCCACACTTGGACAACATGCTGGGATTTGTGCATGTGGGTTTATTCTTGGCTATTATAAAGCTATCTCTAAAAAACATATTTTCAGTTGCGTTTTACAATTTAAAAAATGTCTGTAAATGTCTATACTCTGTGTGTTTGTGTGTATATACTGTATATATATATATATATATATATATATATATATATATAAAT